TTGTGTGTGTGTGTGTGTGTTTTTTTTTTTTTTTCTAAACCTGCTGTTGATAAACTTGACAACTAGAGTTGAGATAAGGAAATTTTACTGTACCTTAAAGATCTCATCTCTGCCGCCTTTCCCCCCCCCCCCCCCCCACTCCCGACCCTCACACCTCCCCTGTCTTCCAAGCTCTGGTGCTTGTTTGTCAAAAACTTTGTTTATTTATGTGTAATATGATATTTCTCCAGGCCTTCAAGTAAGTACATGAACGTGAACATTATGATCTTATTCATCTATTCAAACAAATGTAAATAATTTGTAAATTCTTCACTCTTAATTCAAACAAATAAATAACAACAATTAAAAACTTGTAGTACTTGCTACAGAAACCAAACTGAAGTAAGCGTGTAAAATGCCCTGTGGCTTTTAATAATAGTTTTATTGTAATTTCTGCACCAATGCAATAACATATTTTAACAAATCTGTTTCACACATTTCCAACAGTTTATGAGAATAAATAATATTAAAAACTACCACACTGAAAATAGAAATCACAATGGTCATTATAAATATTATATACACTGTCCACGTTTACTAGTTTGACTCTTGGCTGAATGAATATAGTAACTCATAAGGTCAGCTCAGACCTCATTTAAATAAATGAGTATAGTAATCACTCCTGAGTTTATCATTGGCCAAAACCTGTAAGACTTATTATATATCAACAAAATTGAATCAGTCATAAACCATATACAAATACATATGTACCGATAGTAAATCAGGTCAATAATCAGGTCAGTAATTGGGTCACCCATACCTGTTGTTGTGTTTTCACAAAAGGTGAAGAGTTTCTTATGCAGCTGGTTGGTTATAGTGCTGAGTCACAGCGCAGGCTGGGTGAATTTGAGTTTTTTTCTACAGTGTTGTTATTTCTTCTCCAGTACTGACAGTAAGTATCTGGCCTTGCTGACATCTTCAGGGGGATTTAATGTTATAATTAACCAAGTTTCTTTTTCATTATAATATATTTTACTTACACTGTATAATGAGAACTTCAATTTGAAGTTGAATTGAGTGATGATAATGTACTAGTGGAAGAACAGTTTCACCCTCTCTTGATTTTTTTTTTTTATAAAGATAAATTATTTCCCCAATGTCAGTTGAAGGATATGTAAAATGTATTATTTAGCAGTTTATCTCCCCCCCCCCCCCCTTCTCTACCCAGGAGTACAAGAATAGATTGCAAAGCAACAATAGTGGCGTGTCTCTCCTAACTTGGGGTCATATAAGGTCATGTGCCCTGAACTGGTCTAATTTGTGTTAGGCCCCATTCAGAACAGTGGACTAACTACATGTAGTCTAAGGGTCAAATATGGCCAACTCTCTTGAATACTTCCCCACAGGATATTTATTCACTGTCTATTAGCACATTAGACGGCAGTTTTGGTAGTAGGTCGCAATATTTGGCCCTCGGACTAGTTAGTCTAGTCGTCAACATCTTGATCAAGAATTAAAGTCTTTGTTATTTCCCTTACAGCTATCAGTATAGTCAAGTTGTGAAGTGTCTATAATCCCAGTATGAGTAAGAAGACAATCATTATCACAGGAGCCAATACAGGCATTGGGTTTGCAGCAGCCAGAATCCTGGGTAGATCAGGAGACAAGTATACAGTGATCTTAGCCTGTAGATCTGAGGAGAGAGGACAGGAGGCTGTGAGGACCATCAAAGAGGAAAGCCCCAATGCAGATGTGGTCTACATGAATGTGAGTACTTCAGTTTACAAAGTTGACAAAGTCTCACTTCATGTGGAGACCTTTTATTAATGTGATTGCCTATGTCAGATATATTACATATGAAAACAAATGAGTTACCAGATTTTAACAGAACATTTGAAATGTCCTGAGGTAGCACTTGTGAAGCTAATTGATGATTATTAAAGTAATATTTACTGCACTTCAAGAAGGCACAAAGAGGATATATCACAATTTAATAAAGACTTTTATCCACAGCTTTTACCAATTGACGCTTCCTCTGAAAGTGTGATTTTATTTCCAGTTGGACCTGTCAAGTATGGCATCTGTTCACAAATTTGTGGAGAATTTCCACGCCAGCGGACACAAGCTTCATGTGCTATGTAACAACGCAGGAATGTTGGTGGGCAACGCTACCAAGTCACCACAGATTACCCAGGATGGCCTTGAAGTTACCATGGAAACAAACCATCTGGGTAAGTTACCATGGAACCAAATCTGGGTGAGTTACCATGGTATCAAACTATCTGGTAAGTTACCATGGGAACTAATTTGGGTAAATTTCAAAGAAATCATACTGGGTAAGTTACAATTGTATGATGGAAACAGATAATTTGGGTGAGTTTCAAAAATCTTTTTGTTTGTAAGTGATATTTAGCTTCTTGAAAATTTCATGGCTTTATCATCAATGATTTTACAATCTGCATATTCATCTTTGTTTTTCTCAGTTACAGATGTTCACCTTCTATAGTAATGATTATAGATATTTTTCACTTTTCACTGATTTAAAAACGTATAAGTTTCCATGGTTTTTCTTTTTTTTTTTTTTCATTTTAATCCTTTTAAAATAAGTTTTTTGCTATTGTTGAATAATTGCAATGACACAAATATCCAATATCCAGATGTTAACCTTTAGAGATGCACTGGTAACTTTTGTGAAAATAGTCTATTAAACATGTTAAACAGTTCAGGTTTAATGTTCAGATAATGTATGTGTGAGCAAGAAGATATTTGATCTGGTACCCACACGTGGCCCATGGTGCACAGAACAAAACTTTCATCCAGGTTCTCTTTGAGGACATAGATGGACAGAATACAACCCAGTTGCCAGCCTTAGGAGGACTGGAAATCTAGTTACAGTATGCTAACACTTAATTGATGATGCTGATGGTGGAATGCTGTACATTGATTGATTGATTGATGAACTGTAATAAATAGAATCACATTCTGTTTACTACAAATTAATTGGAGCATTCTTTTATTGGTTTATAAGAAATGTAAATGAAGACAAAAGTGTAATCTGACAGCTTTAATTCCCAGGTCATTTTCTCCTGACCAGTCTGCTGCTGGATGACTTGAAAAGTACAGCTCTTATTGAAGGGGAAGCTAGAATTGTTGTCACTGCATCACGTGTACATGACCTTGTACAGTCAAAGATGAGTAAGTGAGCTTTATCAAAATAGTGTAATTGTAATTGCACTGTCTGGATAGCTCGTGATTTATACGAAACAAATAAATAAATTAGGATTTTAACTAAATGTCTGATCCTCTCCACGTGAATGGCTATACTGATAACTTCATCATCTATATTTCAGTGGGCACTAAACCAACCAACTGGGANCTACGTGAATGGCTATACTGATAAATTTATCATCTATATTTCAGTGGGTACTAAACCAACCAACTGGGATGATATGAACTACACTACACCCGGTTCCTTCAATTCCATGCAGGCATATAAGGATTCCAAGCTGGCCAATGTGATGTTCACCAGAGAACTGGCCAAAAAACTGGAAGGCACCAATGTCACCGTCAACTGCTTCTGTCCAGGTAATATATATATATATATACACATGTCAACTGCTTCTGTCCAGGTAATATATATATATACACATGTAAACTGCTTCTGTCCAGGTAATATATATATATACACATGTCAACTGCTTCTGTCCAGGTAATATATATATATATATATGTCATATATATATATGTCAACTGCTTCTGTCCAGGTAATGCACACACACATCAACTGACAAAATTAGGACAGGTCAGAGGGCGTAATGAAAGAAGGTCAAAGGCCGTGTTAAGGTCAGATCAGATGTAATGAGGACAGGTCAAAGGTCATAATGGCCTTGATCTTAGACTAAATTGTACAGAATCTGCCACTTTTCAGTGAAATGCAGTGGTTGGAGAAGTGATGTAAATCATTCCATGGTGTTTTCATCAAATAAAGCACATAGTTACCCAAACCTCTGTGAATGTGTTGCTGTGAACTAAGGGGCCTGTTGTCTTATTTCCAGGGATAGTTCGTACTGAACTTGGTCGGAATAATAGCGGTTGCCTCAAGTGCTGCTTCAGCTTTCTTCTCTGCTGCTGTTGTTGTCTTGGGCACAGCCTGCACCAGGGTGGAAATGACATTGTACAACTGGCTGTCAGCGATGCCGTAAAAGGTAAAGTAAATATATTATTGGTATTCCTGGTACAACTGACTGTCAGTGATGTTGTAAAAGGTAAAGTTAATATATGATTGGTATTCCTGGTACAACTGACTGTCAGTGATGTTGTAAAAGGTAAAGTTAATATATGATTGGTATTCCTGGTACAACTGACTGTCAGTGATGTTGTAAAAGGTAAAGTAAATATATTATTGGTATTCCTGGTACAACTGACTGTCAGCGATGCCGTAAAAGGTAAAGTAAATATATTATTGGTATTCCTGGTACAACTGACTGTCAGTGATGTTGTTAAAGGTAAAGTAAATATATTATTGGTATTCCTGGTACAACTGACTGTCAGCGATGCCGTAAAAGGTAAAGTAAATATATTATTGGTATTCCTGGTACAACTGACTGTCAGTGATGTTGTTAAAGGTAAAGTAAATATATTATTGGTATTCCTGGTACATCTGGCGGTAATCAGTTTCATTTGAGCATCAGTTGCAGTTAGTGTTGTCCAGCAGTGATATCAGCTTGTGATATTAAGGCAACTTTATTTCAGGAGTAACTGGGCGTTACTTTAATGACCAGGAAGAAGTCACTCCTGCTGCCGAGGCCTTGGATGATGAAGCCTGTAAAAAGCTGTGGACCCTCAGTGAACAGATGGTGGGAGGGAAGAAGGAAGAAAAAGAATAGAGTGGAGAGAGCCTACCCCTCCCAAAGTTTACTATGAAGGCGACTGACACATCAGCTAAAGAGATGGCTAGGATTAAAAATGAAAAAATAATTGAAAAATATTTTAAAATGTGATACTAAAGTGACATTTTATTAGTCTGACGACCATATTATTATATTTTTATATATTATTTTATTATATTTTATTTATATATGCTCCAGCAAAATTACTAAAATAATATTTTGAAATATGATACTGAAGTGCCTTTTAATTTGGCAGACACACATTATTTTATTTTATATATTATTTTATTATATTTATATATGTTCAGGCAAAATTTCATTTTCTTTGAAATTCCATCAATTATCTGCATACACTATTGTAAGCCCATTACAGCTAAGATTTCTTAGCTTCAAGTGTATAACCCCAGCAGGTATAGGAGCACTGCCCGTCTTGCCAAATTATAGCATTTTCGTGTTCCTGGAAATTGCATCAATTTTCAAAATATACCCCTTCAATGCAGCTTAGATATTAAAAAAATAACCCAAGCAGGTGCAGGAGCACAGCACATCTTGCCAGATTAGAGTTATGTGTTTGTGAGTCCGCTACTCTCAGGTTCCTAATTAGTGAGTGTTAAAATTGGATCAATAAACGTATGTGGTGCATGAACAGGTCTGGGGAAACTCAAATTATTAATAAGCGTATAGTCCAAATAAATACCAATACATATCTGGCAATTAGGAATCAGAGAGTAATATTTTATATGGGATTAACACATCACTATATTCTCTTCCTTTACTGTTTTACTCTCTATTTAGTTTTTAATCTATATTATTATTGACCAGTATTAACAAACATTCCATTTTTACAGTTATTGCATTTTATATTTTTGTAAACTGTTTTTCCATAATGTAGACATATATTTAAATGTGCCGTCATTATGATGTTTTGTGGACATTGAAATTTCCTTCAAACGTAATGTTTCAGACATGAAAACCTTAAATACTGTACTAGATAAAACTAAAAAAATCGTATTACATTGCAGCAGTTGCCTGTGCGGTTGCCATGGCAGTGCGGTTGCCATGGCAGTAAGGGGCAAGGTCCTCAGTTTTGTCTTGACAAGTCACAGAGGCTAGAGCTGCAGTCGCACACTGAGTTTGTGGCTGAAATAACATGAGACAGATTCGTGGAACTCCAAGATTATATGTATGTTTATGTATATATATATATATATATACACTGTGTACATTGTGAGCTGACCTCTGAAATGCAACTTGCTCCCGGATTATCAGTTTGTTTCTGGACTGTTTTATTGTCTTATGTTTAATATGTGTGGTGTCGAAGATTTTTGCTGATCAGATAGTAGGATAATCAGATCATTTCTGCACAGTTTTATTGTCTTATGTTTAACACGTGTGGTGTTGAAGATTTTTGCTGATCAGATAGTAGGATAATCAGATCATTTCTGCACTGTTTTATTGTCTTATGTTTAACACATATGCTTTAGGCTTAGCAGACTGTATATCTGTCAGCTTTAGCTGGCTTGTTTTATTGTTTTAATACTATCACCTCATAACTGGTAATTTTGCATAATGTTGTTTGCTATACATTTGGTTTATTTCATAGAGCAAGGCGCATGTGACTTGCTATGATTTCTGGCGTCACACAAAGTACTAATATTTACATATTGTTATTATTATATAATGTATAGTGTAAATAAAAATGATATAAATTTGTGACATCTTTGTAGTAACACTATGATTTCCTGTGGACGTAGAACGTGAATCAACCAATGTTCAGACTATGGCCAAGAGTATACAGATGTGTCTGGTTAAATAGATGGCTAATCTCTGTGCTGAAATCTCAAGGATGATTACATGGCTGGTAATTGTTTGCATAACTACTCAGTACTCAGGTACTGTCACTTAGCAAGTCCCTGTCAAGTCCCCTTGACAGTAATCAAGATAGTTAATTGCTCATCTGTGCCAATAAAAACAGCCCCTTAGCAGACAGACAAGACAAGGCAGGTTACCAAGCGTTAATTACATTGGGGCAAAGCCCAGCTCTCACTGAGCTCCTGCAGAGCAGATACAATGCCATCTGCGCGTGCAAATTTAATTGCTCCCATCTGGCCAAACGTTACAGGGTCACCTCAGCAAAAATGTCCACAATAATAACTGCGGCCCAGGTACGTAGAGGTAGGTGTTTAAGCTGTGTAAGACAGAAGTCAGACTTTGTAGCCTGTGCACAATTCCCCTCCTTTTATTACCAGGGTGTTGACATAACCAACCCTCTTAAAGTTTTTACTTTATTAATTTGGAAGGGGCTTGGTGATCATGTGAATCCAGGCAGCTTGAACGGTGTGGTATATAGTCCGGTGGCTGAGATATCTATGATACACACTTAATTAGTAGATTTCCCATTTTATTTGGACATATGTGATTGTATTAGAATTACAAGAAAAGGGATGATGTAGATGAACTGACCTCAACTGTAAATAGTTTGTATAAAACTGACAGCTGTATATGAAAAAAAATGTAAATAAAATGTGTAACCTACACTTTTTAAAAGTGTAGCTTTGTTTCTGATATACAAGCTCGTGTTCATGTTTATACCCAAATAACAAAGCTGATTGGGTGGATTTTTTAAAGGGCTAATAACTGTTCATTTTGGCCAAGAAATTAATTTTCCCGGAGTAAACAATAATTTTAATTCCCGTACTTACCAATGGTTAACGAATCCATTTCTACATNATTGGTATTCCTGGTACAGCTGACTGTCAGCGATGTTGTAAAAGGTAAAGTAAATATATTATTGGTATTCCTGGTACAACTGGCTGTCAGTGATGTTGTAAAAGGTAAAGTAAATGTATTATTGGTTTTCCTGGTACAGCTGACTGTCAGCGATGCCGTAAAAGGTAAAGTAAATATATTATTGGTATTCCTGGTGCAACTGACTATCAGTGATGTCACAAAAGGTAAAGTAAATATGTTATTGGTATTCCTGGTGCAACTGACTGTCAGTGATGTTGTAAAAGGTAAAGAAAATATAATATTGGTATTCCAACTACAACTTACTGTCAGTGATGTTGTAAAAGGTAAAGATATATATTATTGGTATTCCTGGTACAACTGGCGGTAATCAGTTTCATTTGAGCATCAGTTGCAGTTAGTGTTGTCCAGCAGTGATATCAGCTTGTGATATTAAGGCAACTTTATTTCAGGAGTAACTGGGCGTTACTTTATTGACCAGGAGGAAGTCACTCCTGCTGCCGAGGCCTTGGATGATGAAGCCTGTAAAAAGCTGTGGACCCTCAGTGAACAGATGGTGGGAGGGAAGAAGGAAGAAAAAGAATAGAGTGGAGAGAGCCTACCCCTCCCAAAGTTTACTATGAAGGCGACTGACACATCAGCTAAAGAGATGGCTAGGATTAAAAATGAAAAAAAGTTCGAAAATATTTGAAAATATTTTAAAATATGATACTAAAGTGACTTCTTATTAGTCTGACAACCATATTATTATATTTTTATATATTATTTTATTATATTTTATTTATATATGCTCGAGCAAAATTACTAAAATAATATTTTGAAATATGATACTGAAGTGCCTTTTAATTTGGCAGACAGACACATTATTTTATTTTATATATTATTTTATTATATTTATATATGTTCAGGCAAAATTTCATTTTCTTTGAAATTCCATCAATTATCTGCATACACTATTGTAAGCCCATTACAGCCAAGATTTCTTAGCTTCAAGTGTATAACCCCAGCAGGTATAGGAGCACTGCCAAATTATAGCTTTTTCGTGATGCTGGAAATTGCATCAGTTTTCAAAATATACCCCTTCAATGCAGCTTAGATATTAAAGAAATAACTCAAGCAGGTGCAGGAGCACAGCACATCTTGCCAGATTAGAGTTATGTGCTTGTAAGTTTGCTACTCTCTGGTTCCTAATTGCCATACGGTTTGGAGTAGTAGTACAGGGTGGAAAAATGCCCAAAATGTGATAATAGTATGGTCCCGAATAAACATACAGGGTGGCAGCTTTTGACCAATAAGGAACCAGAAATCTATCATGTGATGTGAGTGCCACTGCGTGTGATTGCGTAGTGAAGTGCACTGCTGTCACAATCTACAGTAAACATAGGGCGCCGCCATGATGGATTTCGCTTGAGTGTTAAAATTGGATCAATGAACATATGTGGTGCATGAACAGGTCTGGGGAAACTCAAATTATTAATAAGTGTAAAGTCTTAAATAAGTCCGTACACTGTGGAATTTTTTGTCCAAATAAATACCCGTACATGTACGGCAATTAGGAATCAGAATTTTATATAGGATTAACACATCACTATATTATCTTCCTTTACTGTTTTACTCTCTATTTCCAGGTTTTAATCTATATTATTATTGACCAGTATTAACAAACATTCAATTTTTACAGTTATTGCATTTTATATTTTTGTAAACTGTTTTTCAATAATGTAGACATATATTTATATTTAAATGTGCCGTCATTATGATGTTTTGTGGACATTGAAATTTTCTTCCAAATGTAATGTTTAAGACATGAAAACCTTACATACTGTACTAGATAAAATTTAAAAAAATTGTATTACATGGAAGGAGTTGCCTGTGCGGTTGCCATGGCAGTGGGGGACAAAGTTCTCAGTTGTGTCTTGACAAGTCAGAAGCTAGAGCTGCAGTCGCACACTGAGTTTGTGGCTGAAATAACTTGAGACAGATTCGTGGAACTCCAAGATTATATGTATGTTTATGTATATATATGTACACTGTGTACATTGTGAGCTGACCTCTGAAATGCAACTTGCTCCCAGATTATCAGATTGTTTTTGGACTGTTTTATTGTCTTATGTTTAACACGTGTGGTGTTGAAGATTTTTGCTGATCAGATAGTAGGATAATCAGATCATTTCTGCACAGTTTTATTGTCTTATGTTAAACACGTGTGGTGTTGAAGATTTTTGCTGATCAGATAGTAGGATAATCAG